TGTACTTGGTGGGTTAGGGTCTGGAGTTGCATTTTGCTTACGCATCTTGTCATTTTTTATTTTTATTTTTTGTTATTTTCTGTATTGATGTTTGCTGATCTTTTATGGTGTGTAGTTTTATCACTAGTATCATGCCTTCCCTAGGAGATGTCTGTTCTTCAGGGGTGTCTTCTAGATATAGGTGGTCCTTTATTTCTATCCCAAGAACCTATCTTCCCAATTTGTTAAGAGTGAAACATTGCTATTTGGCTTAGCACCAAGTCCTTTGATAGTGGACTATGGTTTTGATTATGACCCCGTATAATCACAGTGTTATCATACAAGGAAGAAAGACTGATTATAATGTGTATGATAGCCTGGCTAAAGTAGTACAGTTAACAGTAACAATAGCTTCAAATACAGGCTAGCTACTGATAAACTTTGGTAACCATTAACCTAATACCTTTAAACATAGGAGCAAATTCTACAGTTATATAACAAAATCCAACATGTACCAGGAAGTTGTATGCAATGGTTTTCCCCTTAATGGAGTGATTTTACCTGTTGAAGGGGAGGGTTAAGAGGAAAAGGGGACAAGATAAAGAGATGAATGAGGTCAATATAGTAGAAGCAAAGCTGGATGGCAAAAGATTATCACCCAAGTTTTGGGAAACTAGAGGACACAGGAGAGAAAGAATGAAAGAGAAAGTAATAGAGTATTGAAGTGAATCAGAAAGAGACAATGATTACTTACATGAAAATATCATAAAATCAAGAGGTAGTTGAAGAAAGAAAGATGAGTAGAAAAAAAAGTTACGAAAGCTAAATAATGAAAGAAAACAAAAACAAACAAAATAAAAACAACCAGTAAAAACCAAAACACAACAAATACAACCACACACAAAAAGGGTTGAACAATCAGATACAGAAAAATAAAAATAGTAAAATTCCTCTGGTGTTCACAGTTCTGTGGTAGTTTCTAAGTCAGATCCCAGTTTGTAGAATGAATTTTTTATCAAACAATTGAATCACTCATCCAACAATATAATTCATCTACAAAGATGCTCAAAATATACCAAATTCACCTATGTTTTAGTTTTTTAGTCATATATTCCAAACATGGAAACTACAGAAGTCATGTATGTTAGCACTGCTGGATTGAACCATGGTAAATTCTGAATGTGTTTGAAACAATTTTGCCTTTCTACCTAATTTCAGCTAAAAGGCAATCATATAAGATTTTCTGAGAACTGCATGCACCCAAAATGGCACCACTTTGTACAACTATTGCTTCAAAAGCTCCTCTGTTGGATCAGAGTTCTCTATGAAGTTGACTTCAATATCCACTTGAAACATACATGGAGTTTTCAGAAGCCAGTGCAATGACACCTCCAGAACACATGACTAAGAATGCTGCTTGGCAGGATTTCATATTCAATTTGTATCACTCTAATGTGGATATTGCACACTTGAATCTAGACAGCTGCTAGCTATAAAGCATGGTCAGAGCTATTAATGGCAACTTTTGATAAGAAAATGTACAAAGAAAAAAACCTCTTGTCTCTTCTTCAATCATTTCCTTGCTAATAATTTCTAATTTGTTATACTACTGATGCTACTAAATTGAAAAATATAATTGACAAGATCCTTTACAGCAATATATGTGCACCCATGTTTATAGCTAAAGAATCTATATTTATGACCCCCTCAGCCACACCACTTTAGAAGTTTGTTAGAATTATGAATTTTGGTGAAAACTGTTTTCATTAACTAGGTGCAATTCTTTCCTAACTATAGCATGTTCCTAATGTTACATTTCTGTAACCATCACTATCACCACCATTCTCAAGGCCTTATCTTTAAAAATTCTCACCATGTTAGTTTTCTCCTGGCCCTGCCTCCTAATCTATAATTTTTCACTCTTAACATTGCCTAAAACACATTTCTATAACTGCCTAGTTAGATCAAGTTCTAAGTCTACCATACTGAATTTAAAATAGGCCAAAAATTGGCAAGTGGGAGGTGCATAGCAGGCCCTCTTCATGCTGAGATACCTCTACTGTTTCCTATGGCATCCTCCTCAAAACAGTCACAGTGTTTAAGCTAATATATCTATACTTATAGCCGTCAAACCCAAATTTAGATAGGTCTTTTTCATCACAAAAGATATACTACTGTTTCTACTTTTCTTGCCTAATAAAGAAAAAGGTAGGCACTAAAGAAGTTGGGTTCATCATAAAAAGATTGGTAGCCCCTTTAAGACCGCACGTACAGAATGATCAGGGACTCTTGATTCTGCCCACTATGACATCAGAAAGCAAGCATCAAACAGACCAACTGTAGGTTAAAGTGAAGAAATCACTTACCAAATCATGGTCTTTTTTCTTTGCTTAATTTTGGTTTTCTATTTTGTTTTGAAGAAGGTTTCCAAGTCAAAGCGTAAAAGGAAAGTTCCAAAATACAAAAAGATATGTAAAAAATGGGTAAGAAATATTTGGTCTTCTTATTATTCCTATTTGGATCAGTAGGCCTATCCAAATGAAACCTACCCTCTAACTTCAGTTTGATATTATTATCAATCTGAGATTCCCTACCCCTCCAAGTCATGAGCTGAAACTTAAGAATGTGTTATGATATTTATCTCATATATTATTTAATTTTTAAAAATCAAAGTGCAAAGGATATTTTTATAGACAGTATCAAATTTCCCCATGTTAAAATATCAAAGGATCTATGTAAAAATAGCCTCAATTTTCAAATGTATCCATCAAAGTAATCATATCACAGTGGTATATACCTGCTCATAACTAGTATGGCTATAAGAATAGTCTCTGTGTGGGAATCGTGATTTATCTTTAATTCTTTTGTTTGAAAGGGTTACTTTTTGCTTAGAGTGTGGGTGAAATGTATCTTCCATTACACTTGACCTATCTCCATCTCCATCCCTATATGAATGATTGATGAATGGATAAATGATAGATAGATAGATAGATAGATAGTCAGTAGATAAACTTGCAAAGCTGTCAATATAATGCATACTTTTTTCTTTTAATAATTGTTTTTTCTTTCATTTTGCAGCAATAGACCTGAAGGTATGTCAGTATTTAATTATTAGTAGGTAGAATCAATGTGCTATTTTTTTAAATAGTTTTTTTTATTTTCAAGAGAGTACTACATGAGAAACAAACAAACAAAAAAATAGAACAGTAGCAGCATACCAGTATCACGAACATAAACAAATCAAAGCAAAAGCATTCAGTGTGATACAGGGTCTCAAGACAAATTAATACAAATCAACAGTGGTTGCTGCATTGCATATCGCTGTCCTCAACTACATTGCTCAGATTATCAGATGTAAGAATGAAAGATTGCTCAAACCATTAAAGAGAATAAGAAACTAATTCTTCAATAAAACCTTAGAAATAATACAGAGACTCACTAGACAAGATGGTGGGAGTTCACCTTTATAATTCCACTGTGTATTGTTACCTTCAAATCAGTTGCTCAGACCACCAGACACAAGCATGCAAAATCGATCAGAACATTAAAAATCGTAAGCATTAACTCTTCATTTCAAACACCATCAGACATCAGCAATACAGTTATCGTAGCTATTCATATATGTATTTATGTTTTGCCTTCTTTCTTTTTTCCCTCATCCCAGTCATTCCTTCCTTTGAGCAATGTCTTTCCCTTTCCTATCATCATGTATGTTTTGAGTTTTACCTAGTCTTTCAGGTTCCTACACCAAGGAGACAATATGATGTTTACACATGTGGGTCTGATTTATTTCACTTAAGAGTATGGTCTCTAGTTGCATCCATTTACCTACAAAGGCCTCAAGTTTATCCTTTTTCATAGCTGAGTAATACTCCATTGTATAAAAATACCACAACTTTTTTTATCCATTCCTCAGTGGATGGGCATCTGGGTTGTTTCCAAGATTTAGCTATAACAAATTGGGCTGCTATATACATGGGTGCACATATATTGCTGTGGTATGATGTCTTTAATTCTTTTGGGAAAATACCCAGAAGGGGAATAGCTGGGTTAAATGGGACTTCTAATCCTAGTTTTGTGAGGAATCTCCAGATTGATTTCCACAGTGGTTTCACCAGTCTACACTCCCACCAGGAGTGGAGTAGGGTTCCTTTCTCCCCACAGCCTCTCCAGCATTTGTTATTGGTTGATTTCTTGATGATAGCCATTCTTTGTGGGGTGAGATGGAATCTCAGTGTTGTTTTAATTTGCATTTCTCGAATGACTAATGATGTACATTTTTCCATGTATTTATTCGCCATTAGTGTCGCTTCATTAGGGAAGTGTGTATTCATCTCAGATGCTCATTTTTGGATTGGGTCTTTGAATTTGGGAGGCCTGATTTTTTTTAATTCTTTGTATGTCCTAGATAGAAGTCCTTTGTCTGAGAGGCAGTTGGCTAAAATTTTTTCCCAATTCATGGGTTTGTTTTTAATTCCTTGGTGATTTCTTTAGATGTGCAAAAACTTTTCAATAAGATTAGATCCCAGGTGTTGATTCTTTGAAGTATTTCCTGTACAGTTTGGTTTTTGTTCATGAGCTCTCTGTCTACCCCAATGTCATGAAGATTTTTACCTACTTTCTCTTCCAATAAATTTAGTGTTTCTGTTTTAATATTTAGATCTTTGATGCATTTTGACTTTAATTTATTGCATGGTGAAATACTTGGGTCTAGTTTTAGTCTTCAGTGTGTGGAAAGCCAGTTTTTCCAGCACCATTTATTATAGAGGCTATCTTTCTTCCATTGAATATGTTTGACCCCTTTGTGGAAGATAAGGTGACTGAGTGTTTGTAGTTTTATCTGCATCTTCTTATCTGTTCCATTGATCTTCAGGTCTGTTTTTGTGCCAATACCAAACTGATTTTATCACAGTAGCTTTGCAATGGTATTTTTTAAAAGAGGATATTATATGTTGTATTTCAAATCTTCACAAAGTCATGACTAACCTTCTTCCCTTTCCCTTAATAAAATCTATGTTAAGTATCCTTGGAGCTCATCTAGGCAGGGGATCCTTCCTGGGAGTCCTGTGTATCCATCATCACAATTCTCTGGAAGAAATTACAAGTAAGCTATCTCTTATAATGGCAATTAAAACTTGTAAATACTATGAAAAAGAAAAAAAATCTCATTTGGAAAGTATTTTATTGGACAGTTTTATTTGTGTATTTATATTTTAATAAGTGGTAGGTTTTCATAAAGAAAAGAGCATAGTCAATGATAAGAATGTTTCCTACTGTAAAAATCTGTATAACTGTGTTTTTTCCAGGGCAAAAGACAGGTCTTTAATATATTTCCTAAGAAAAAATTTACTAATGATCAAAATTAATCTCTAAGAGTTTCCAAATTATACTTTTTTAACTCAAGGATCATAATAATTTCACAGACATTCAGAGAAAGAACATAGGAAATATTTCCCAGCAAAACTCTAGTTTTAGTGAGAAAAAGAGTGAAAGAATAATAGTATAGTTCTTTTGGTTTTGTGTGGGTGCCATTATTTTATTATGTGTGCTATAAATCTAATGTGTCTTCTGAATGATTTCATTCACTTCCTACAGGATGTAGTCATATAGTGACCGCAATATATGTCATCAAACTATTTATGAGTGTTTGATTTTTTTAAAGTATAGTAAAACATTTACTGTTTATTTTTCCTATAATATAGCTTCATGATTCATGACACCAAAGAGAACAATCATTACAACTATCCATCTGCTAACTGGGACAGCTCTTGGGGAACAACTAAACCAGAAGTAAATTATGGGAACAAGTATTCTTCAAGCATGCACATGCAGCCACTCTTTGTATGTATCATGTACCTCAATATTTATCTATGGTTTTATCGTCATAATTCAAGTAAAGGTAAAATAATAAATACTAGGACTTCATTATACCAAAATGATATAACAGTCAATCCAAATAAAGCTTTGAGCATTTTGTGTTATCTGATTCACTATCATTACTATTTTGTTTATAAAATGAGATTAGGAATAGGAGTCAAAAATATAGTCTATGTAATAATTGCATATATTAATGTATATATATATATATAAGTATATATAATATATGTTTATATATCCTGTATAATGTAGTTTAGTATATGAAATACATTTTTGAAATTTGCAATCTTTAGAAAGGAAACTTGAGATCAAAGGAAGACCTGTTAAATGCATGCTACTAATTCAGAGGTGAAACTGTTCTTATGTTATTATTGTCATAATTTACAACTGCTTGTATTATAGTGTAGTTTAAGATACTAAATATTGCATTGGTCCAGTTAATGGTGAATACTCCCTAACTGCTGATCAGTTATGACATACCAAAAATTAACACAAAGTGCAAACTGGCTTTCTTTACACAGGCATTCAAAAGAATAGGAGGAGAACTGTGAGATGAATTACCACCATAAAGTTTCATTTTTTTTATTGAGACAGAGTCTTGATGTGCAGTTCAGGCTGGCCTTGAGCTCACTTTGTAGCCCAGGCTGGTCTCGAACTCGCAAGATCCTCCTGCCTCAGCCCCCCGAGTGCTGGGATTACAGGTGTGAGCCACCATGCCTGGTCCGCCACCATAAAGTTATCTTTATAAATTTTCTTGACAAATGTAACAAATTATTAACATGGAACTAGTTAACAGTATTAAGACAGATTGTGTTTTTATTTGGAACAGTGAAGTTTTTGTAGACCACATGGCAAAATAACATTCCCCACAAAAATCCACTATTAGTTAAGTGACCTCAGAGAGATAAATTATGAAAATACAAATGTGGAGTTTTAAGAATTTTAATTATTCAAGAAGACAAAGTGCAAGACATGTGATTAAATAAAAACTAATTTTTCCGATGTCTTTAGCATACATTTGTTGTCCTATCTATGGGGATAAGTGATGGTAAATAGAACCGGGAAGAAACTGGGAACTTTTGAGGAGTATGTGAAATTCTGAAAGAGAAACAAATAAGAGAGAATGGTATGGAAATCTTTGTAGATCAATAGATGTAGAACTCCAGGAAGAGAAAGCCTGAATAAGAAAAGTGAAAAAATGAAGAGATGATTGTAAAGTAAAAGGCGTATTTTTAGAAATTAAAAAAGGGATCAGGGGAGAGGGGAGAAAGGGAAGAAACATAATGTAGGTGAGAAAAATCTAAGTGTATTATGTGCTAGTACTGTATACCAAAATGAAACCATTTCCCATGTTACTAGGAGTCACTAATAAAATAAAATCTGAAAAAGAAAAATAGAAAGGTTTGTACTGAGAATATAGAGTGGAAACTGGCTGCATTTGAATGCAGGGTGCTTCAGGATCAATTTTGATCTGTGTATTATTTTCCCATTGCTAAATAACAAATTTTCATACACTCAATGACTTAAAACATCATATATTTATTATTTCACAATTTCTGTTGGTCAAGAGTGTAGATAAGGCTTATTTCGGTCCACATTTCAGGATCTTACAAGGTTGCAGTCAAAGTATCAGGCAGTTTGCCTGTTCATCTGGAGTTTAGATCTTCTTCCAAGTTCACACTGTTGGCATAATCCATTTGCTTCTGCCCTCCCAACAGCACTAGGTTATTGTTTCATTCTTTTACTAACGTATCGATCATGTTATAATTATTTTTCTATTGTCTATTACTGTGTATCTCACTTGACTTTGAAGTCACCCAGACCAAGGATAGTCTTGTAATATCCTTGTATCTTGAGTACCATTCATAATGTCTGCCACAGAGTGGTGTTCAGAAATATTTATAATGCTTGCACAATTCTTGTACAAATGAGGAAGGTCACCAGTGTAATGTTTCTAAGTAAAAATAGAAAAATCTCAAAGGCCTACAGTATTCATATTTTCTCAGATCTGTTTTCAGAAGCTCATGGACATATTTCTTTAGGATAACTGCAATAGAAAACTGCATTTGTATGTGGAGATTTTTAATTGTCAAAAGGTGAAATTATGCTAGGGAAATGTAATTTGAGCATGAACCTCTATCATAAAACAATTCTGTAGCAGTGATAAAGCTCTGAGTATAAGATAAAAATAATCTGTTATAGCTTGAAAACAATTATTGATGTATTTTAAAATTTGTAATATAGTCATGCAAAAATGAAAGAGGAGATATTTCATAAAGGTCAGAAATTTAATTTACCATAATACTGTACCAGCATTCATCATTTTTCACTATCAGAGTATGAACTTTGGTACTATAAAATCAGACAAAAATATGCTTGACTTTATATAAATTTCCTCTTGTAATATTTGCATTTTTGTTTCATACAAAGAGTCTGGATGGCACAATACCTCAAACAGTCTAGAGGAACTGCATTAGAAGTAGAATATTTAATGGTTATTTAAAAATAGCCAGCAATTCACTTACTAAAAGAAAGTGTTATTTTAAATTATTATAAATTCACAATAGTGATTAGACAAATTTTTAAAATCACTTAGTTAATGTTAGCCTAATTTTCCAACATGTAAACATATTTCCATGAGAATAAATATTTTATTAAATGCCATTTAATTATGTTTGATATTTTTAACTTTTTTGCAGGATTTTTCCACACCAGGAGTTCCAAAATCAAACTATATTCAAAAAGAAAGGCAGCCTTCTGGATACTTAAATTCTGAAGAGCCAGAAATCCCTCACAGAATAGGACGTGCCCAGATGAAATTCAACTATTAAGATCTCAGCAGATAAATACATATACAAATATGTGATCCTCTGATTATCTTAAAATTCATGTAATACCTTAAAAACACTATGATTAAAATTTATCTGTGCTCCAAATATTTTTCTTTCTGCATTAATGCCATCAGTTTTTCTCTTTATACCTTGAACTTTTTCTGCCTACACTCTGATGACCCCAGAAGTGAACTTTCATTTCCAGTATCCAATTTCTTAACTTAGCAAGAATGGCAGATACCTGTTGTCTCTGAAATTCAGCATAATACTTGCTTACTCTGTTAGGACATATATCTTTGTAAAGTGCTCATCAAAATGTGTATAAAATTGGGGGGCTGGGGATTTAGCTCAGCGGCAAAAGCGCCTGCCTGGCAAGCGCAAGGTCATGAGTTCAGTTCCCGGTACCGGAGAAAAACAAAAACAAAACAACAAAAAAAAAAGTGTATAAAATTGGTTCCAAATTACTTGGAGAGAATATTGAGTTCTTTACAGTTATGCAATAAATTTAAATACTTGCATCAAATCATCAGTATATAATTAATGAATTTTATTTGTAATGTACAATTTGACTATAAATTTATTCTCCAAAATAAACTAAGAGTTCATAAATGATTTCTACAAATTTAGTGGTACAGTAGAATGATCCCAAAATCTTGGTTTTTCCTCACCATCTTTCCTTTCTTTCCTCATTCTTTCTTTTCTCCCTTTATCTTTCTTTATTTAAAAGCCATGTCACACCAACTATGTACCATGTATTGGTTAGTTGCTAAGATACAGAGATAAATCTGAGATAGTCCATGGAGGCTAAACTAGTCGAAGAGAGAGAGAAAAAAAATCCATTATTATTTTTCAATGTGATCAATGCTATGATAAAGACATGTACAATATAAAAACGTAGGGAATCAAAGAACAATTATCCAGTCTAGAAAGAAGTGTGTTGATATATCTCATATTTTAGGGCAGATAGACGAAGAAGGCCATTTTTTAGAAAGTGATGCCTAAGCTGTTGTAAAACAATAAGGAAATAATTTACTAAAGGGGGGTGGGAGAGGGTTTTGAGACAAAGTGAGCAAAAAGCATAGAAGTAAGAAAAGCAATATGGAGCATGAGGAGAAGTTCAGGTACTGCTGGAGGATAAAACTGAAGGAGAAATGAGCTATAAGGCTGAAGAGATAGCCAAAGGCTCGATCATGGAGGGTCGCATATGCCATATTAAGGAAGTTAGACTAAATCTTATTCGTTATAAGACTCTGTAGTAAGTCTATTTTGTGTTGCTATGACATAATACCTGAAGTTGAGTACTTTATTAAGAAAAGAGATTTTTCTTTTTTTTTTAATTTTAGAAATAAAAGGAGGAAAATACTAATACAACATTTTACAAAATAGCAAAGGATCAGTACAGACATTACAGAGTTACAAACAGAGAGGTAGGGAATTAACAATGCTTGTTGTATTACATATTGATATCTTCAAAGTAGTTTCTCATGAAAACAGATACAGACATGCAAAGCTGATCAACCAAGGCCTCATTGACAGTTTCTTTCAGCAAGGAAATACAAGGCAGTAGAACAGCCGTGTTAACTATCCTGCATATACATA